CCATTCCCCTTCCTCAACCCTGAAACCACCAATCTGTGTCTGTATGGATTTACCTGTTGTGCACATTTCATATGATTGGAATCATATACTATGCGACCCTTTTTGTTTGGCTTCTTTCACTTAGCATAATGTTCTTGAGGATCATCCACATTGTAGCATATATCAATAAGTCATTCCTTTGTATAGCTGAATAATATTCCATTGTGAAAATATACCACAATTATTTATCTATTTGTTGATGGACATTTGAGCTGTTTCCAGCTTGGGCTACTGTGAATAGTGCTGCTATGCACATGTGTGTGCAAGTATTTGTTTGAGCACCTGTTTTCAATTCTTTTGTAATATATCTAGGAGTGGAATTTCTGGATCATATGGCAATCTTTTTTTATTTTAGCGTATTATGGAGGTACAAATGTTAAGGTTACTTATATTGCCCATGCCCCCCTCCCCCCTCGAGTAAGAGCTTCAAGCATGTCCATCCCCCAAACATTGCACATCTTACTCATCGTGGTTGTATATACCCATCCCCTCCTCCCTCCTCCCACCCTCCCAACACCCAATAAATGCTACTCCTATATGTCCACTTAGGTGTTGATCCGTTAATACCAATTTGCTGGTGAGTACATGTGGTGCTGATTTTTCCATTCTTGAGATACTTCACATTTAGTAGAATGAAAAGCAATATGGAGATACCTCAAAGCGATATGAGTAGATCTACCATTTGATCCAGCAATTCCACTACTGGGCATCTACCCCAAAGATCAAAAGTCACTTTATGAAAAATACACCTGCACTTGAATGTTTATAGCAGCACAATTCACAATTGCAAAGCTATGGAAACAACCCAAGTGCCCATCAATTCATGAGTGGATTAATAAAATGTGGTTATATGTATACCATGGAATACTACTCAGCTTTAAGAAACAACGGTGATATAGCACCTCTTGTATATTCCTGGATACAGCTAGAACCCATATGGCAATTTTGTTTAACACTTTGAGTAACTGCCAAACTTTTCAACAGTGGCTGAACAATTTTACATTCCCACCAGCAATGTATGAGCGTTTCAATTTCTCCATGACCTCACCAACATTTGCTATTTTCTGTTAATTTTTTTTTTTTTTTTTTTTTTTTTTTTGAGACAGAGTCTCACTCTGTTGCCTGGGCTAGAGTGCCGTGGTGTCAGCCTAGCTCACAGCAACCTCAGACTCCCGGGCTCAAGTGATCCTCCTGCCTCAGCCTCCTGAGTAGCTGGGACTACAGGCATGTACCACCATGTCCGGCTAATTTTTTCTATATATATTTTTAGTTGTCCAGCTAATTTCTTTCTATTTTTAGTAGAGACAGGGGTCTTGCTCTTGCTCAGGCTGGTTTCAAATGCCTGACCTTGAGTGATCATCTTGCCTCGGCCTCCCAGAGTGCTAGGATTACAAGTGTGAGCCACTGCACCCGGCCTTTTCTGTTATTTTTTTATTATAGTCATCCTAGTGGGTGTAAACTGATACCTAGTTATGGCCTTGATTTGTGTTTCTCTAATCAATCATGTCAAGCATCTTTCCATGTGCTTGTTGGCCATTTGTATATTTTCTTTAGCGAAAAGTCCATTAAAGTTCTTTGCCCATTTTTATTTGTTTGTTTATTGTTGAGTTATAAGAGCACTTTATATATTCTGGACACTAGACCCTTATCAAATATATGATTTGCAAATATTTTCTCTCACTCTGTAGATTGTCTTTTCACTTTCCTCATGATGTCCTTTAATGTATGGAAGCTTTTGACTTTTATGAAGTCATTTTATTTTCTCTTTTGTTACTTATGCTTTTGGTGCCATAGCTAAGAATCCATTGCCAAATCCAGGTCATGAAGCTTCACCTCTATATTTTCTTCTAAGAGTTTTATGGTTTTAGCTCTTATGTTTAGGTTATTGATTCATTTTGATTGATTTTTACATGTAGTGTGAAATAAAACTCCAACTGCATTCTTTGGCGTGTGGACAGCTGATTGTCCCAGTCTTGGCATCCTTGTCCAAATGGACATAGACTCAAAGGGTTGAAATGAACCATGACCTCTGGCCCTGCCTCCGTGGTCTCCCTTCTTGGGTTTCAAAGGAATCTTAAACTGGGTCCTGAAGCAAGAGCACCGTCACTGCTGTGCACTTCTCAGGGCCTTTATAAATCCCAGAAGGCAAACAATCTCTCCATTTCTCATGCGGATAGTTGCAGCTAGCAAGGCTATTCCTTCTGCCCTCCTCAAGGCCCCAGCAAAGGACACATTTTGTCACGACCATGTAGCCTCTGGCCCTTCGTCCATGCATCCAGAGCCGGTGCAGCACGCGGACCTTGCACCCAGCACAGCGGGGCAGGTGTGTCCCACGGTCACAGGCAGGCCTGCACAGCGGGCTCAGCAGTGACTTCACAAAGGCTCGTGTGTTCCTCTAACAGCTGTTTCAGCTTGTGTGTGGGTCCCATTCACCTCAGCCTCTCTTCCTGGGTCTCTCACTGGGAATGTGATCTTTGGGAAGAGGCAGAGCCTCAGGGCTGGAAAGGGCCTTAGGGATGGGTGATTTAGGGGCTCTTAACCTGAGTGCATGACCCAGAGAGTCCATGGATGGGCTGTGGGGGTCTGTGACAACCTGTGAACCTCTGAGCATGCAGACATGACTCTGTGTATTTTCAGGGAAAAAGACTCATCTCTCTCATCAGATCTCAAAAGGGCCTATGACCCACAAGGTTAAGAACCACAGAGTGTAACAGGTGACTGGTTAGTGGCAGAGCTGGAATGGAACCCCCAGAAGTCCCAGGACACCGGTCAGTACCCACATGGGAGAGCACTGACATCAGAAGAGGCATTTGGGCAGAAGGCCCACCACGCGCCTGGGCTCTTGTGCTTCCCATGGTTTATCGCAGCTGCCACATGCAGCAGAGGACCCCCTGCACGCGTGGAAGCCACAGTGTGGACAACGGAAGTGGCTGCTTGGGTCCAGAGGTCTCACCCTCCCAAGGCACTTCAGTGTCCTGAGGCCTGTAGAGACTAACATCTCTGGGCGCACCTGTGACACAAGACCAAAATTGGAAAGCTGCCAAGAGGGCTGAATTCTGCCAGCCAAAGCCGAGGGGCTTGGAAACCCATCCAGCCCACTGCAGGCTGAGCCTCTCTAATCCAGTCTGAAATCCAAGATGCTCCGAAACCCAAAACTACAAGAGCACCGACATGACAGCACAAGTGGGAAATTCCACACCTCACCTTGTGTGTAGGATTGTAGTCAAAACTTTGTTTCATGCCCAAAATTATTAAAAATACTATATAAAATTACCTTTCTGCTATATGTATAATGTGGATATGAAATGTAAATGAATTTTGTGTTTATACTTGGGTCTCATCCCCAAGATATCTCATTATGGATATGCAAATATTCCAAAATCCGAAAAAAATTCAAATCAGAAATACTTCTGATCCTATGCATTTCGTATAAGGGATCCTTAACCTGTTCCAATTTCGGAAAATCTGAGATGTCCTACCTCCCACCAAATAAGCATACAAAGCCTGTGTCCAACCTACTAGGATGGCTCCCTGTAGGAGTCTACGTGCCCATCTTTCTGGTTATTTGATTAAACTCTCCTCCTCCTCCAGAAAGCCTTCCTTGCTTAGCCTCTCCACTCCTGTCACTTCTCAGCATTGTGCTGGGCTGCCCTTTGCTGATTTGTGCAGTGCGTTTGTGTCTGTCCCCGCAACCCGAGGTTGCCTTCAGAGCAGCCCCTTCCTGGGCGGCCTCCAGCTTCTGCTTAAGGCTCATTCGCACTTTTTGGGGAGTGGTGGGGGCACATCGTCATCAGAGGGTGGAACATTTGGAGGGACTGATAGACTGACAGTGCACCTCTGACATCACTCAAGGGCAGTTTATTGAATATGCAGCAGAAATTCAGAGTCTTTAATTCAAGCAAAGGAGGAACTAGGTGCCGCTGTCTTAGGAATATTTACACCATGAGCCACGACATCTAGGCCTGGTGGTACCTACAGAGACAGAGGACCAAGCTCCACTCATGGAACTCAGCTCACGGCAACAGAAATTGACAGTCAGAAGCTATGCAGGACACAGCCCCAGAGAGAGGACCAAAGACAAATCCCATACCCAAAGTCCTGGCTAAAGGCAAGGTAATTATGCTGCTCTCATCGAAAAGGACTGTGAGCTAGATGTCCCCTTTGGTAAAGCGGCAGTGACGTGCCCTAGCAAGAGCAGAGACCTGGAGTCAGCCCAGCCTGACACTGGCATGTAGGTGATGACGGGGGCCAGTTCCGCAGCCTCTCAGGGGATCAAGCTCCCTGTCTGTTCCAAGGATGCCAATCACATCTTCTTTGCAGAATTGGGACAGAACTAGAGGCAATGCATGTGCCTGGCACACAGTAAGGTGCTTGACAAATGGTGGTAGCTATCACTGACAATAAAGGAGGTGGGTAGGTGACACCAGGTGGCAAAAATCCTCAATTCTCCCTTACTTGGCTTTGTGAATTTGGGTGCAGCTGGAGGTCCAGTGTACACTCGTCTCCTAAGGAATGGAGTTGTCCTGCAGAGTCAGTTCTGGTGGGCAGGTAAAGGCTGTCTGACTTCTCACCTCCTGGTGGCAGGTCTCATGTTGGCCCTGCCAGGCCAGCAGGGGCAGCAAAACTCTCAGACACCTGCTAACTTGGCCTAAGCATGGAACGAACCATCCCCACCCCCTCTTCTCTCCCTCCTTCTCTGTCTCTAGGGACGATCACAGCTTCCTCCACGCCAAGAAGGCGATTATGGCTTGTGCCTCCAAAGCAAGGAAAACGAGAAGTCACATATCCACACAGGACCTACAGTGTCAATCAGAACTGAGAGTAAGATTAGCCATGGTGCGGAGAGTCGAATGTGCTATAGACAGTTTTAAAACTCAGGGACCAAGGATTGGACGTGGCGGACATGTGCAGTGGCGAAGTCATCTCTTCTTCCAGGTGCTGAGGTGGGTAGGGCCGTGGGCCTACCGGGTGGCTTTCCTGGCTGGGGCGCTGGCCGGGGTGCTCTTGCCCTGGGAGTCCTTGAGGTCTCCCCCTCGCGCCCCTTTGGTCTTGATCTGCCCACTTCGGGTGCTGCTAGAGCTGCCCACCACCCCGCTGGCCCCAAGGTCAGCACCCGAGGAGCTGGGGTGGTAGCCGTAGCTGCTGCTGCTGATGACGGCTGAGGAGGAAGGGCCAAGAGCATGGGAAGGGGACGGTGTCAATCAGCGGGTGACAGATGGCTCCAGTAACTGCTGTCCCCAGGGCTTCCTCTAACCTGACACCCTATTCTGTCCCCACAAGTGCCCTCAGCCGTCAAGAAACACAACGAGGAGGGGTTGGGACCCCATGATGTGCCAGACTCTGTGTGAGGTGGGGACCACATAGGACAGACATGGCCCTGCCCTCCTGGAGATCCTGGGAAAGTCCGTACTCCCAATCCTTTCCCCAGATGGCACTGCCCCGGGGGACAGACAGGAAGGGAAAGGGGTGGGCATGATCTCAGTCTCTGCTCCTACAGGACTGAATGGGAATAGCTTTCCTATGGGGCCAGAGAACCCTCCCTAGACAGGACAGAAACTTCTGGATGGGGAGACAATGAATGGAGGTGGCACACTGTGTCCCAGAGTCCCCAGCTTTCCCACCCCAACCATCTCTCACGACGGGAATACTCACAGATGCTCACAGAGGATGGATTCTCACCAGACATCCTGCAAGGCAGAAAGTTAGAGAAGGACGACAGCTCAGGGAGCGTCTGGATTCAGCTAGACTGTGATGGGCTCCTGCTTTACATGCACACCATGTTAACCCAGCCATACAGCATCCCGTAAGCCGGAGGTTATAACTTCCATTTTACAGATGAGAAAGTACGAGGCATGAGATGTTAGGTGATTCACTGGGGCATACAGATGGCATGTGGCAGGGCCGGTAGCTACCCCCAGGCTGCCTGAGTCGGCTTTCGGCACAGTGCTACACAGCCACCACGCTTTGTGGCTCGTCAGACAACCCCTTGCAGGAGGTGCAGCTGAGCTCACCAGTCAGACCCCGCATTCCTTGCTCAAATGGTCACCAGCCTGTTGCTCTCACCTTCCAGCTCCCAAGTGGTCCCTCCGCCCCTTCTCCCAGTGTCCCCTCGCCCCGCCCACCTGCACTCCTCGCCCTCCAGCAGCTTCCTGTAGGTGGCGATCTCCACGTCCAGGGCCAGCTTTAAGCCCATGAGCTCCTGGTACTCGCGCAGCATCCGCGCCAGCTCCTCCTTGGCCTGCTGCAGGGCGGCCTCCAGCTCGTCCAGCTTGGCCCGGGCGTCCTTCAGGGCATTGTCGCCCCGCTGCTCGGCATCGGCAATGGCCGTCTCCAGGTTGGCGCACTGAAGGGCAAAGAATGGAGAAACCATCAGAACAGAAAATAATTTCTCGATCTACAGATTAAGCAGAGTAACCTCCTCACATTACAGACAGGACCCAGAGTGACAACAAGGAAGAGCTGCAAAGCCAATGCCAGAACCCGGCCTCCCTATTTTCTATTGCAGGTGGACACTCAGAGGTGTTGTCATGGGAAGCCACGGAGCTATGGCATTTTAGGAGTGCAGGAAGAGACACCAATGTCTGCAAGGTGGGGTAGCGCCTGGGGCCGGAGGAGGCACCAACGTCTACAGATTCAGAATACCCCAGGTCCAGGAGAACCATGCCTGTTACCCCAGCAAGGATGCCCCCGGGCAGCATGCCACGGGCCCCACTGCCATCAGGTTCCTGCTGCAGGATGTCTCCCCAGTGGCCACCCTCCCCACCTGTTGGCACCCAGAGTGAGTGCTTCTGGACTCTTCCAACACTCTGTGGGAAGGGTCTGTCTGAACGCTCCCACGTCTGGCCTGAATGGGTGAGGGAGCCTTCCCTTAGAGTAGGAGGTTACGGCCCTAAACTGTAGGCGCAACCTCCGACACTGGACTCTGATGAACTTCCAGGGCACTCCCATGCCAGGTACTAAAGGGAAGAGAAATGGTCCTCGGAGAACTTGCACATCAGCCAAATGTAGTCTTGAAGCTGTGCCTGGGTCCCTACATTGCATGGTGGGCCGTGGAGCACAGGGAGGAGCTTGGGCTGGGATTTTCCAGTTCGCCAATTCTATCACTCTCAGAATCAACCTGGCTCTTAGGGAGGTCACAGGTCCAGAATCATCTCCCCACTGACACAGTGTTTAAGACTTGCTGCTTTCAGCTAAGACAGAGTCCCCTAGCTAGAATGGAAATGGTGCCATGGCACAGGGCGTGGGAGCCAGGAGGGCTTCATCTGCTGCTGTGTCCCTCAGTCACCAGGACCGTGCCCCACCACCCTGAGGGTGGGAACATTATGTGGCCACAGAGGGACCTGACACACACCCCTGCACCCCACACGTGTCCCATGTTCTGTGGGAGGAGGGGCACAGGGCCTTCCCTCCAAAAGGACACCTGAAGGGGATGTGGGGCAGGTTTGCTGCACACAGGAAAAGGCTGAGAAAGAGGAAACCAGGTTCCAATCCTGGCCTGCTCCTCTCTCCAGCCCAGCTGCTTATGTGCAAGCTGCAGAGTCAGAGCAACAGGCCCGAGGCTCGTCCTGACCACGAGCAGGGGCCCAGCTCCTGCAGGGGGACCAAGGCAAGAGGAAGAGGGGCTGAGGATGGCCTGGGCCCCTAAGCCAGGCCGGAGGCATTTGCTTGTTCCTAAAAGGTGGGCCCACTTCTGCACCCCAGAGGATGGCGTTGAGCCTTGGGGTTCTCTGTTGGGTGCTGCCCACCTGCTTCTTCACATTCCCGATCTCACACCGCAGCCTCTGGATGAGCCGGTTCAGCTCCGACATCTCATTCTTCGTGTGTTTGAGGTCGTCGCCGTGCCGGCTGGCCGCCAGCTGCAGCTCCTGCATCTGGTCTCCCAGGGACAGGAAGTTGGTGATGAGACAAGGTCGGGGATGAACCACACCTGCCATCCCTGCCGTTGGTGGGATGCAATGGACCGGAAAAGGAGCCCCGAGCAGGGCCCTGGAACATGTCCAGGTCAAGGGTTTCCTCCCTGGTGGCCCCAAAGGGTTTTACCCCAAAGCATAGCTCCACTCCTCAGGATAGTCCTAGACTCCTCTCCCTTTGGGAAGTCTCCCCATGGCTCAGAAAAGAGCTCAGGGCTTCTTCTCTCCTCCCACCCCCCGAGTCCATCCACAGCTGCTCTTCCCCTCCCTACAGCAACACACCCCAATCCCTGCAAATGTCATTGTTCTATGGTGGGAACACCTCACTTTGTCCTCCATCAGGGGACTGCCCGTTCCTCTCCGTAGGACACATGCATCCATACCACTCTCATGACTTATCTGTGATAGCCATCTCTGCCGAGAATGCTGTATGGGCAGAGTGTGGTTGAACCCTTGGTGAAGACCACTCTTCCCTTCAGCACAGAGCTGTCTCCTGCACTCTGGTGGGGGTGACCCTCCCCAGGGACGGAGGGCACTGCCCAGTGCCAACCTTGGTCTGGTACAGCGCCTCAGCCTCGGCCTTGCTCTTCAGGGCGATGTCCTCATAGTGGACACGGACCTCGTCGATGATGCTGTCGAGGTCCAGGTCCCGGTTGTTGTCCATGGACAGGATGATGGAGGTCTCACTGGCGTGAGTTTGGATCTGGGCGATCTCCTGCGTTGAGAAATGAGGACAGAGTCAGAGCACCCTGGCGTCCTTCCTGTGCCCAGCGGGCTTCTGGGCCCGTAGTCCCTGGCAGAATGGGTCACCAGGGTCCACAGGCCAAAGTGGGGAGAAGAAGTGCCCGCTGGGGACTGTCTGCAGGGCCGAGGAAGAGCACACATAGCAGCAGACTGCAGGAGGCAGCACAGCCGGCATAAGAATGCGTTTCCCGCAATTTCATAGAATCCAGGATCTACACGTTGGTAGGATCTCACTGGGTCATTTCTTTCTGCCTGTGGGCAAGGCCACTGCTGAGGTTCAGCTCAGTTGCCTGCCACATGTATGGCCTCCAGGGATCAGAACCCTGTACCTCCCCAGTCTCCTAGTGCAGGGTCTTACACCCTTCCGTCCAAACATCTCTTGTTGTGCTGATCCTAGACCTCCCCGACTGGCCTTTCCTGGGAGAGCCAGGTGAAGCCCCAGCTGGAAAGAGGCAGGGTGGGGGTGGGGCATAGGAGTGTCCTCACCGCGTCGTGCAGGCACTTGAGGAACTTGATGTCTTTGTCCAGAGAGTCCACTTTGGCCTGGAGCTCCACCTTGGCAGCGTAGGCTGCATCTGCGTCCTGCCGAGGGGCGCCCAGAGCCACCAGTCAGTACAGCCACTGTCCCATCAGCAGCCCTGGCCCTGCCCTCATCCCCAAAGCCATCTGATTTTTGCTCTCAAACAGAAGCATAGTGATGAATAGTTGATTCATCAGTATTGATTTTCTCTCAACTCACTGAACCTTTGGGAATAGCGAAGGGGAACGGGGCTCTGTGCTTCCTTGCTTCCTCGGCTATGCCTGGAGAACACAATGCCCAGAGAGGTAAGGAAACCCTACTGGTTTTCCCAAGTCACACAGGACCAGAGTTTCCCAATTCTCGGATCAGAATTCTCTTCTGTCTATCTGTGTCCTTTTCCCAGGTGTGTGTCCTTCCTCTCCACCTTGCTCCACCTCGCTGGGGACCAGGACTTTGACTCCACCCTCATCAGGCACCGGCCCCTCCCCAGCAGCCTGGGCTTAAGTCCTGGGACAGTTGTTGAGGATGGGGGTGCCAGGGATACCAGATACTCTTCTCTCCCTCACCTTCTTGAGCACCACGAACTCATTCTCGGCTGCTGTGCGCCGGTTAATCTCCACCTCATATCTGTGGGCGGGGAGAGAAGATGGCAGAGGCTCAGCCCCCTTGGCCTAGGAACCTCCTCCTCCTGCTGGCTGGGGAAGTGCTCTGGATGCAGAGAGCCCAGCAGGGTCTCTGGGTGAGCACTAAGGCGCTCGCTCGTGGCAGGAGTAAGATGTCCTGGGTGGCCTCACTTGCATCCCTCTCCCTGCATCCTAGGAAAATGCCCAGGCACCTACGGGGCACCCCAAACCAGCAACTGAACCTTTCAGTGGGTCAGCGAGCGCAGGAACTTCTCCCTATCACCCAGGCAGGACATTCTCATCAAACAGAGTAGGGCTTTCCCACAACAAGAGAAGGGGATTCGAGCTCCTGACCCTAGAGCTTGCTCCTGCCCCTTCTAAACAAAAAAAATGGCACAAAGATAGGAGAGCCCAGAGCCGCTGAGAACATGACCTGTGCCCTTGGTGGGGACACTCACCTCTTCTTGTAGTCCTCCACCTGGTCCCTCATGCTTCTGAGCTCCGAGTCCAGCCTCACCCTGTCCGCAGACAGCGTCTCCAGCTGCTTGCGCAGGTTGCTGATGTAGCCCTCGAGGATGGGCTCCAGGTTCTTCTTGCAGTTGCTCAGGTCCAGCTGCTGCAGCAGCTCCCACTTGGTCTCCAGCACCTGGTTCTGCTGCTCCAGGAACCGCACCTGGAACCCAAATGGACAGACACCTGGAACCATAATGGATGCTGTCATGCCCCATGGACATGCACCATTGACTCCCCACATTAAATAGATTTTTATAAAATCATTTTGCTCAAGTCCTGACTCTCCACCCTTGGTACCCCATGCAACCTAGACCCTATACAAGTGCTCATTCCACAGCCTTCAGGACAACCAGTCGTTGAAAACTTACTGAAGACGAAGACTCCACAGCTTGCTTCTATTGCTTGACCCTGGTCCCAGGAGATGTTCTTCCTGATGTCTCAGCTAAGTGTTTCTGCCTGTACCAGAGCCCTTCCCTCTGAATAGTGCTGGGTTCTAATAGCCCTTCATGTTCTTTGGAGACCTGGAAGCCATCCAGCTGTCCTCCAGAATCCTATCTCTCTTTCTCAAGGTGGGGGGACCCTTTCCACAGCTTCCCACCCTTCTCTGCAAAATCCCCAAAGCAGGCAACACATGCATTTCTCCCTCTGCTCTACCCAGCTCGCGGATCTCTTCTCTTGCACTGCCGATCAGGGTGCCTTCCCGAGGCCCAGCTCCACCTTTCCACGATCAATGCCCAGTGCATTCCGAGGCAGCAGGGAAATTGCTCAGACCTCACGAGACTGCCTTCTCCTCCTCCTGTGCAACTCACCTTGTCAATGAAGGAGGCAAACTTGTTGTTCAGAGCCTTGATCTGCTCCCGCTCCTGCGTGCGCACTTTCTGGATCTCGGGGTCCAGCTCCACGTTGAGGGGGGCCAGGAGGCTCTTGTTGACTGTGACCTGGTGGATGCCTCCAGGCGGGCACACGGATGGACACGCTAGCCCCAGGGCCACACTGCCAAACATGCTGCCAGCAAAGCCACTGGCCCGGCCCCCTCCATACCCAGAGCCATGCCAGAAGCCGTAACCTCCAGCCCGACCACTGCCACCAGCCACGTTAATAGAAATTTGTCGATTCCCTCCCAAGTTGTAGAGGCTCCGACTGCTGAATCCAGCCCCAGCCCCTTTGCTAGCTGTGCGGTAGGAGGCCAGGCTGCCCACAGCCTTCCGCGGCAGCACTGCTGAGTGCACGCTGAAGTTGCCCTTGTCGCCCCCGGACTTGATGTTGAGTTGCCGACTCATGGTGGGAGAGATGAAGTTGACAGAGCTAGAGAAAAGCAGTCGCCAAGGGACAGAGAACACACTGATGGGGCAACCAGAGCGCTGCCTCCTTTTATCCTTGCTGAGCCAGGGTCACCGGAAAAGGGCGTCTCTCCACTATCTCCTTTCCCTACTGAAGGTCCAGGGCCGTGGGCAATTTGAAGAACAGAGATCTCCAAGCCCTTTGCAGCAACAAAGCCCTTCTGATAGCGAGTGGAATATGCTGGTCTTGCAGACTGGAGTGGGCTAATTTGGGGTTTATCTGTGTTCCCTAATTAGGGACCTGGGAGTTATCCCCTGCACAGATCTCCTGGCTGTATTTCTCTAGTGCTGCCTCCTTTTTATTTATCTCTCAGCAAGGAACAAGGTAAATATCCGGCTCTACCCAGAGAGGGCTCATCTGAAAACCCCAGGTTTCACGCCAAAAGGAACCATCTCCCTGTGACACAGACTTGCTGGGGAGCTGTGGGGTTTATGCCAGAGAACAGGGGACCTGGAGAGGGGATGATTCTTCTTGGGAAGAAATCTTCAAAGATCTGGATCCAAGAAAGAAGCAGCAGAGTTCCCTCTCTGGGCTGTGACAAGGACCACAGCTGCCCAGCAATGGAACGGAGCCCAGGAAAGAAGTGGGGATGACCACATGGCATCTGCCTGGCCCCCAGCAGGGATATGCCTGGGGCTTTCTGTACTGGGCAGGGCCTGGGTTGCGGTGACCTTCAAGTTACCTTTCCAACCGTGAGGACCTTTTCAGGCAGGTGACATTTCCTCCAGTTGGATTTTTCTCTCCTGTATCAGCTTGTCTTTTCAGGCTCTGTGGGGAAACAGCCTGTGGCTGAAGTCACCAAGGGACAGGAACCCCTGAGTTTCCCTCCCACATTCAGGGTGGGCTGTTCTGCCAATCTTCTTAATACTTCAGGGAGCCACCCAATTTGGGGACAGCCCTTTATTGCTCAGGTAGTCCTGGTAGAGTGGAATGTTAAAAATTATTTCAAAACTCTGAATCTTGTAGCTGCCCTGAGGCAGGGCTCCAAGCACTTCCTGTAACTAAATTGGGAGGCCTTGGCCTGTTCCAATCAGGCAGGGGGTGGCAGACAGCTGCTCCCACTACTAGGGAAGGACAAGGAAGATGAGTCTGGTGATGAGGGAGGCTGAAGCCTGGGACCTTCCTCAGAGGACCTCTCCCTTTGCAGAGGGAGCCCCAAGGCTGCGGTGAAAGGTCCTTCTTCAGGGACCCTGTCTCCCAGCATTCCTGGCAGGGCCTAGCCTGGAGCCCGGGAGAGCATAATTGAGTGGTTGCTTTGGTTTTCTAGGCCAGATTGCAAGACCAGCAGCAGATACAAAGTTAACTGGGGTGCTACCCCGGACTCTGGGTTTGTCTCCCTCCCATGCTGATGTGTGAATGTCAACAGATGGTGCCAGTTCCTTGACCTAGGGGTGACCATGATATGGTCCAGGCCCCGGGAAGGCTGCAGACCAATGGGAGGAATCTACACAAAGAAGTTAATCCAGGGCCAAAGCTACAGAATAATAAAAACGCATTATGAGCAACAGGTCAAAGATGTGCTGAGTAGTGGCTAAATCCAGGTTTGTAGGGACCTCCAGAAGATTGGGCTGAAATTCCAAGCAGGGCTCATCAATGGCACTGGCTCAAAGCAGAGGCTCAGAGGTGGTGGGGCTTGAAGCACTACTGATAGGAGCAGTAGCAGCAGCGGCAGCAAGAACATCAGCTGTCGTAATAGCGACAGTAGTAACACAAAGAGTTAAGTCTTCTTGCTCACTTTGCATGCACCAGGCCTTGCACCAAGCACTACACAGGTTATCTAATTTAACCCTCACATTACTGATTTCATTTATAGTTGAAGAAACTGAGGTTTAAAGATATTAAGGAACTTGCCCAAAGTCACTCAGCTAGTAAGTCGGAGCTGGGCCTGGAATCCAAGTGCATCTGGATTCAAAGTCCACGTTCCTGACTATTGTGTCATGTGCCAGAGATGCACGTTCGTGGCAAAGATGCAACGACTTTCTGACGTTGCCATGGGGCTGGGTCCCTCGTGTCTGTGTTTCTATTGTGATTTGGAGACAAGGATGCCATGAAGAGAAGGGGGATTGCCACTGATCTAGGGGCTTGTGTAAGATTAGACGCCACAGTAAGGATGGGCAGAGGAAGGAAGAGCCTCAGTTTCATGAGGGGCTATGCTATTCTAGAATCCCCAGTAGCTGACTCTTCACTGCAGGGCTCCCATGGGGAAGTAAGCGTAGTTCTGGTTATCTGAGCCTCCTGGGCCAGGCTTTGCACCACCACAGCCTGGCTGAGTGTGAGCCCCAATCTGATAGGAGAGCTGGACCTCTTACTGGGAACCCCAACAAAAGGGCATTTACAAAACAGAAAAGAAAGGCACAAGGCTGGATATTCAAGGCTGGGGAAGACTTAGGATCAATGAAAAGCAGGTTTTCAGATGCCCATAGAAATGCTACGAATCAGACGAGCCCACCATGCTCAGAAGTGACGGGCTGGGCAGGGCCAGGCCTAGAGCAGGGGGCCCGGCACCCTTTGTATCCATCCAGAAACATTTCCTGGGTGCCTCCAACAAACATGCCCTGTACTGGAGACAGCCAGTAAGGGTCTGACGACAGGGATGGGGTGGAGATGGTGGAGGCAGAGTGGAATTTCCTGACAACAGTGCCCTGATGGTGGCCACACAGAAGCGCCCCTCCTAATTGGTTCCTAGGAAACTTAATTGCTGGGGAATTTTCTCTGACCCACTCAGCTGGATCTCTGAGAGTTCCAACACTACGGGGCTGGATACCCTGTAATTAGTCATCACACTGCACACCCCGGTCCCTGAGTTCATTGGCCTAATGAGTGTCCCCAGGCCTGAGGAAATCAGTTCACTTGGTAAGGATAACATTGAGCACCTTCTGTGTGCACAACCCTGTGCTAAACGTTGAGAGACGTGCCTAGGCACTCCCTCTCCCCTCCAGGAAGTTAACTGAACTGGAGAAGACAAAATAGAAACACATGGAAGTTGTTTTGCTATTGTTAGTGTTGCGGTTTTAACTCTGTATGTCTGTATTGGATTATGTGCTTGCACGGGTGACTCAGACAAGCTGTTATTGAAATTCTGATGTTTTTTAAAGACAGAATAAAAAAACACATGAAAATCTGCTTTTTGTTTACCATAAGTCTTCTCCAGACTTGAATAAAAAAACAGAATAAATGAGAGGTTGGGCTCTGGGTGGGGGTTGGGAACGGGCAGGGGCACACTGCATCCCCGAGGCCGTGAGAAGTGGGTGGATGCAGGGGAAGCAGTGACATGGGAGGCAGAGATGGAGGTAAAGATGGAGGAGCAACCCTGGAGGGTCCTCTTCTCTCTGCAGACAGTGTACAATCCTACAAGGATCCTGAAAAGACGGACATTCACGGTGCCCATGCTTTAGGTTAAAGAATAGGCCTCGTGTTGCAGGAGGAGAGCTAGGGGGATACAGGGCAGCCAGGGAGCCTGAGGAGCTCAGTCCATTGTGCCACAATCTGCCACTGTCTTCCTGGAGGGTAAGAATCCCATTCTGCAAAGCATGTCGCCCCAGAAGGAAACAAAAAGTAGTGCCAGGAGTAATCCCAACCGTGCATAACCAAAGCCATGTCTGTATGGTTTGCTGATGGATAAAGAAAGTCATTTTCCTCTAGCCCTTTGGCCTCTGACTGCTCCTGCGCACAGAACAACAGTCGAGGGACCCAGATTCTGTAGATCGAGTTCATTCATGGAGAGAGGAAGAAGCTTGAAATACTAGTGAGCTAATTTGGGGGTGACAAGACTTGGGGACAAATCATGGCACCCTAGCACTGGCAAAGACCTGAAACTGAGTTCTCTGATTTCCCTTTTTCAAAAATGAACTCAGTTCAGAAACTTAACACTCTCTGCCTGTCTGAACCGGTTTGAAAGGAGCCTGTTTTTCCATCCTTGTCCAAAGTTAGCCAGCTCAGACAACGGAGCCTGTCTGCTTCCCTCCCTTTCTCTCCACGCCCTCTCCCACCCTCTCTCATCCTCTCCCACGCTCTCCACCTTCCCGACATGAAATCCTGGGTTCCTGTAGTACCGAGTCTGAGAGCAGGTGGGTTCAGCACCTGAGAGGGCTGCAGAACCCAATGCTGCTCCAGGGCTCTAGACACAGGCTGGGGGCCAAGTAGAGAGGACGTGAGAGTGAAGCAGAAAGTTCTGTGTTCACAAAAAGGAGAGGGAGAAACTCTGAACACAAAGGAAGAGGGAATGTGTCCCAGACAGGACAACTGGGAGAATCCAAGTACCACTTAGTAGGGTGATCAACTATCCCAGTTGGCCCAGGCTGAGGGGCTTTCCAGGACTGTCAATGATACAATCTGGACAGTTCTGGAAAAACCCAGCTAGCTGATCACCCGAACATCACCCTCCACATTGCAGAGAGAGTACCAGACTCTCCAGGAGATGTAGGATTCACTGAAGTCCCATCTACCCAAGTCTGTAAAACTTAAAACTTTCAAGCAGTCACTGGCCTGTCCCCACCACTACGAGTCCCCCTGTCCCCTTACACACACTCGTGCAAATAGGAAATCCTCAGATTAGTAGAGAAGACAGGCAGCTGGATGGCAGCAATGTAAATTCAGTTCCAGTCACAGTTACTAAATGCCTACTGTATCACAGGCACTGTGCTCAGAGACATCCCAGACAGGCAGCCAACACGGTCAAAATTCCCAGTTCTAGGTGCCTCGTGAGTGTAGGAGACATGGTGCAATAAGCCTCCAAGCCTTAAAAACCTAGCAGAGGATGCTTAGTGACCTGAAATCTTATAGTGGCTCCTTTGTCATTGCTAGTTTCATGGAACTTTCTACCTGCACTTCTCCAGATAAACGTGGAGGAGCCAGTCTCTGCAAAACCCTTCTCTGAGCCTAGAGCCTTCTCTACTTCCTCTTCCCAGCATTAGCGTTTCCTTCCTCCTCTCTGCTGCAG